CTCCCCCGCCGCCTGCAGCTCGCGCGCCCGGCTCTGTTTGTGTCAACCTGAGCGCCCACGTGCGGGACCTGGCGGACTCGTTATCCCAGGGAGCTGGGTCTGCGAGCGTGGAGCAGAGTAACTCACCAGACTAGGCTAGGTCTAGCCCGTGCAGCCTTTCTCTGGGACTCTGGAAACCTCAGCTGAGCATGCGGTTCTGTAACACAGGCAGCCTAAGCCTCCCCTAAAGCCAGCCTTGAGTGCCCCTGCTGCTGCACTGCAAGGTGAGCTGAAAGTCTGATGTTCCTGACTTAATGTTTATCTGGAGCGACTTTCCAGCCATAAGCTTTACACACAGAAGCATGTTAGGTAGGTTTGTACAGAAACACTGAAGCTCATATCGGTTGCCAAGGACAGGAATGTTGCATCCTTTGCAAAACATTTTCCTGCTATGGTTTGTATTTTCTTTTCTACTGAGCTACTGAATATTTAAATTCATTCTGGCACATTAGCAGGGCTGTCCTGGTACTTTGCACTTTGTTTCGTAAGTGAATAAGTGCCTTTTCTTTCTTTGTGTATTGAGTTGCTTTTGAATTGCTTCCCATATTTTTATTTCATACAAACTGAACAATTGTGGCCCCTCTATTTTATTTATAAAGGTTCAGTGTATCTTTGCCTGCCTACATCAATCTGCAAGGGAGTTGCAGAAAAGCCTCATGTTCATCGAGCCGTGAGTCACAACCAATTTTTAAAGCTGTTATAACAAAAAAAGTGTTTGCTTTTTTTCACAAGTAATTTTAAGAGTGTAGCTTAGAAAGAAAGAACGAGAGAGAGAGAGAGAGAGAGAACCATTTTCAATAGACACTACATTAATCCTGGATGCATTGCAAATCCTAAACTATATTCATACTTTAGTATTACACATACCTGTGTCATATACACAGATTGGCTATAAAATTGTCACATACCATTGCCACTTTGCCTTTACTTTTATGTATCATTCCCCTGACTTCCTTACTGCAGGTGTGGGCAAGAAAACTTTTCCTTTAAAACTTTTCAACAGTGGGCATAAAATTCTGCAGCTGAGGTCTTGAAGAATGCAGAAGGGTATAGTATGTGTTGGAGCTCGCAGTGTGTATTGACTAACATTTTTTTTTTTTTTTTTGCTTTTCTGATATTGTCTTGTTTAAGTGGCTCCCAAGTGTAAAATGTTTTCTGAGGGTGGGGAGGTGGGGTGGGAAGTACATGTTTTGTGCTCCAGGTCAGCACTTAAAAAGCTTCATTCCTCATATGGCCTCGGAAAGCACACTGCATATTTGGCTGTCCAAGTCAAAAGGACTGATGCATTAGCTTATTGGATTTGTAAATAGCAGTTGCCTGTAGAAATCGCCAGGCACAGCCCTGTTTTGTGATTCATGGCCCTCTGATAGCATGGGTTTCAATATCTTCTGCCCCTAGCTTTTGTATACTTAAAAAAGAAAGTAAGAAAATTGTCATGGCTATTAGCCAGGCTGCCTTTTTTTTTTCTTGCCTATGTTGTCTCTTTGCATAGGTAACAGACCGTGGGCACCATATTTAATGTGTGAACTGATTATGTAAATGCAACATTCATATTTCTGTTGCCAATTATAAAAGTTCAAGAATAATTTATTTTCTAAGTTTTTCCAAACAATCTTGGGGAACAGGAACATGAAGTATTTTTAATCTGCATATTGAGGCGAAATGATCATACCAGCACCATCATGCTATATCAGCATTCTAATGTTTTCTTATTTAAACCCACACATGAATTTCAGGAGATGAAACCAGGCAAAGGGTGAAGTTTACAGATGATCGTGTCTGCAAGAGCCATCTCCTGGACTGCTGCCCTCATGATATCCTGGCAGGAACAGTAAGTGTTTATCTTGGTACAGGTTGAACCTCTCTAGGCTGACACCCTCGGGGCCTGACAGGTGCCGGACCAGGGGAGATCAATGTAGTAGCCAGTGGGTCTCTTTTTATTTTTATTTCGCTCTGGCAAATAAATGGAACAATGCTTGCAATGTTGCTTAATAATGTATGACTCTACTGATATGCCCTACATAAGCCTATGCCTAGCCAAGGCTGATTAGCTCTCTTCATAATAAAATGTTAGAGTTTGTAAACAATTTTACTGAATTGGCACAAGGAAATAAGTAGATAAACCCTAAAAATCATGCTTGCGCTTAGTGGCGTTAGCTACTGCTTGCTAGGCTCTTAGAAAACATTTCGGGGTAAATTAGAGATCAGTAGCAGCACAGAACATTGAGTGTCAGGACTGTAAATAAGCTTATGGGACTGTGGGAAACTTGGCCACCTCCATGATAAGTGGACATCCAGCTAACTAAAATGCTGGACCTCTTTCTCCCCTCTCCCTCCCCGTGTGTAACCACAGAAAATTTCAGCAGTTGCACGTTTACTTAAATGCGTTTTAACATCCCTAGTGGAAGTTCAGATCACATCCTTGTGTCTATATATACTCATAGGAGATGCCAAAGTTAGGAAAGATCAACTGTCTCTGCAAATCCCAAAATGTACTAGTGCAAGAATTTCAGTATGACTAGCTGTGACGCGTGCATATCGCTGTTGAAAAAGTCTGTAGAATGATGTGGAAGTGGTCAAAAATGAAGGGTTTTAGTAATCCTGTAATGGATGCTAAAATAGAACAGTCTTGCCGATTTGAGATACTTGGTGCCTCTGAAACTTTTTAAAGGGGACTTGTTTAATTATGTTCATATAATTCTTTATTAATGTCAATGAACTAGGATTTATGGAAAATAGATCCTGTCAATCTAATGTAGTACTTTGGTTGATAAAGGTATTAACGTTCATGTAATATACTTGACTTCTGAGAGGCATTTGGTTTGGTACCGTATGATATTTTGATTTAAAAACCTAAAAAGCCACAAAATTAACATGTCAAACATTGAATGAATGAAAATCTGGCTAACTGATGAGTCTCTCGTAATTAGGGAATCATCACTGAATAGATGTGTTTCTAGTGGGATCCCACAGGGATTGGTTCTTGGCCCTGATTTAACACTCTTACCTCTGACCCAGAAGAATACATAAAACCACCATCATTGAAGTTTGCAGATGACCCACAAATTGGAGGAGTAGTAAATAATGAGGACCACAGGTCATGGATAGAGCCATCTGGATCACTTGGGAGGTTCAGTGCATGCCAACAATGTGTTTCAGTATGGCTAAATATAACGTATCCATCTAGGAACAAAAATCTGGTGACTGTAGGCTGAAGGACTCTCCTAAGGAGCAGGATCTGAAAAAGATTTGGGTGTCATGGTCAATGTTCCATCTAATTTTTTTCCATCCATTTGTGGAATATTTTTTTTACTTGCACCAATGCATGCTTGGATGTGCACCACTAGTAGAAACGTGCTGCCAGTTGTGTTGCTCTGCTGATCAGTTGGTCGGCACCTGAATCTCTCCTAGTGCTGCGCAAGTGCTCAGCTTACAGGGTACACTGGTCATGGTAGATAATCAGCTAACCACCAATTCCCAGTGTGACACTGCAGCCAAAAATGCTAATGAGATCTATAGATACCTGAAATAGGAATGTATCGAGTAGTCTTAGCAACAGTGCAACCGCAGCTGGAATGCTGTGTCCAGTTTTGCTATCCATAATTCAAGAAGCGTGTTGATAAACTGGAGAGGGTTCAGAAAAGAACCACGAGACTGAGTAAAAGATTAAAAACATGTCTTGTAGTGATAAGCTAAATAGATTGAGCTCCTCGAGTTTAACAAAAAAAAGGTTGAGGTGACGATCACAATCTATAAGTGTCTACATGGGGGAATGAATGTTTGACAGTGGATTTTTCAGTCTAGCTGAGAGAGGTCTAACACGATCCTATGGCTAGAAGTTGAAGCTAGATTATTCAAACTGGAAATAAGGCATACGTTTTTCAACAGCAAGTGTAATTAATCAATGAAACAATTTGGATTCTCCATTACAGGCAGGTTTTAAATCGAGCTTATATGGTTTTGTAAAAGATCTGCTCTAGGATTATTGTGGGGCAATTCTCTGGCCTCTATTAGGTGTCTACCATGGTTCCTTCTGGTTTTGCAATGTATGACTCTTAAATGAGACACAAGATCACTGCCCTTTTTAGCCCAGCCTCTGTCCTTAGCAGACTGATCAAAGCACAGCTTTGGAACTCTAAGATGGTTTTTAAAAACCTTGTTTTTCTTCTATCTAATTTAATCCTCATCTTCCCCATCTTTCCAGTCTTACCATATATGGGCCTGTCCTCATGAACTCTCCAGGGAGAAACTTTGTTTTGATGGGGAATATATTAAAGTATGAATGGCAATTTGTAGTTCACTCTAATTTTGTCCCTAGGACTAGTTTGACTAAATAGCGTGATAATGTGTCAAAGTAGATGTTGTTTGATCTGCAGATGAAAAGAGGAACCCAGTCGTGTTTCCTAGCTTTTCTAGTTTCTGCCTCCTCTCTTGGGGAAAGATCTGGGTGTTCACTTCAAATGTATTTTGTAGGAGAAAAACGAGGCTGTGGAATTTTTATGATGCTAAAGAGATTTATGTATTCAAAAGTCTGTTAATTTGGGGTGGCTGAGGAAAGATGAAAAAAATCATTATGTAAAGTGGATGCCATGAGAGGTTGCTGAAATACAGTAATCTGGGATATACCTTCAAAAGAAAATGCAGCATGTTTTCAGTCATTGCCACACGAGCTAGACTGCAGCATGCTGGAGATGAATTCAAGTACCTGAAATCTCTCTGTAGCCTTGCTTTCTGACAGTAAAATTATTATAAAACCAGCCATTTAATATTACTATTGTCAAGTGAGGCTGCTTAAAATGCAGTAGCTATTCATAGCCTTTCCTTTTATTATGTGGGGGCTGGAGTTGGCATTTTTGGTGCTAACACAGAAAAGCTTCAGTGTTTAATCCTTAGATTGTAGGACTCCTAGACCATGATTTTGAGTAGGATCAACTGTAGGCTTTTTTGGCACTTGTGACAAATATGGCAACTTCCTGCAATATCATATTGAATTAAGTAAAGCTTATTGAATTAAGCACACTTATTTTAGGCGTTCATTGTATTATATGTGCAAATGTTTGCGTGTTATCATAGGACTATATTGAATATGTTGGGGTGGGGGGAATGTGACCAATGTAGACTCTGGGGAAGTGTCTTTTTTCCTTGGGCAAGTCACATCAGACAAGTTAGTTTTGAAAAATACTCTTAGTGATGAAGAATTCTTTTGATGGGAGTTACTGAACCTAAGGAAGATCTTGCTCCTTAGAAACACTTGTCAGCCATCCAGATCCTAGGGTAACAAGTGTGGGGAGGAAGTAAATCTCTGTTCCCTGTTAGTCATTTTGTAGCCAGATTGAGACATCAGTTGCATAGACCATCATGGAACAGATGGTAGTCCAGAGGCCATTGCCTGTAATTGACAGTGGTCATCTCTCCTAGCATAGAACTGTTTAATGATGGGGAAATATTGGCGCATGAAGATCGGCTGTTTAAGGTCTATGAAAAATGAACAATTCTGGGGCATTTTCTTGATCAGAAGGACCGGTGTTCTCCTGGGAAATCAGCTTGCCGTGCTGATGCCAAGTGCCCCACGAAAGCCTTCAGACATCTAGAATACCATAGAAAATGTGGAAGAGAAATTAAGGCTTCGCTTCTTATTGAAAGTGGAGTGAAATCAGCTTGCCGTGCTGATGCCAAGTGCCCCACGAAAGCCTTCAGACATCTAGAATACCATAGAAAATGTGGAAGAGAAATTAAGGCTTCGCTTCTTATTGAAAGTGGAGTGATTGCCCCGGGGGGGGGGGAAGGGGTTGAGAGGTGCGTTGTTTTTCGTGAGATCTGGAGACAGAAGGGTAGAGTGTAGAGGAACTGGGGAACCTCTTGAAAGTGAGGACTTGTACCTCAGAGCTTACGTTTCCAGTCAGAGAAGTGTTAGCTCTGCTTGCAAAAGAAAGTTGTTGGACCTTGTTTTCAGGTGAAGATGGTTCTAGGTTCTGACTGGACCTCCTTGTCTTGTGGAATTCCTTTGGCTGGTGTTGGGAAGGAATTCTGATAGAATGGCTCCACCAAATGGGAGGGGTGAAAGGATACTCGCTCTTCTGATATTGCAGAAAGCTGCAAGTGCCATAAACTGACTAGAAGCCATTCTAGATTCCCCAAAGAAAATGGGCTGGACATGATCGTCACATCTTGTTAGCCCTTCAGAGCTCTTTCTGGAGGCTTAATCGAAATGTTCACTTTTAAATGGTGGCTGTATTTGAAGACTACAGCCATGTCTCCATTTGACAGCTCAAGCCAAGAGTAAATGGCATCAATGACAAGTCAATTAGAACAGTTGTTTCATTGTGAAGAAACTAATGTGCTGATGTCACAGGCATTGATTTAAAAAATATTCCATCTCTTTCCAGCCTGTCTTTGATGTTCATGTGCTTGCTTCCTTCTGAAATTTTCAGTCCTCCTCCTCCTCTATACCTGTTCTGCTAGCAGACTCTCATGTGCCTAATAGAAACAAACTGCAGCTACAGGATTGTTTCCTTTAGATCAGACCTTTGTAGGTACTTCTCTGGGTGTTTTCCTCAGTTACTAACTAATTTAGCGATATGTAGTTTTAATCTTAGTCTGTTTAGCCTCTCAACAGGGTGTACAGATACATAAACACCTCTGCAGCATGACTCTGCAGGCTATGTTGGAATGTGCTCTCCACTCTTACATGGGCTGGACCATTGGCTCTGGAGCTCTCCAGATAATAAATAAACTTTTTTTTCTATTTAAAAAAAAACCGATCCAAGTGCTTGCCAGTAGATGCTGATAAATGCAGGGAAGAAACTGGAGGGATCAACTGTAAATATTTTAATTAAAACCTGAGAGCTCCTTAATTTTTTGGTTAACTATGGCAATAGATTTAAAAATTGGGAGCAGATGGTGGAAGTAACCGAAGCCTTTTATGGCAAGGAGGCAGTCCTACTTAGCCTTTTGTTAGTCAGATTAGTTTTAAATGACATACTTTACTTTTTTGTTTTTATTTTTTTAGTTATTTTCCTAAAGAAAGGTTGATTCTGTTGGTTGGTAACTATTAACATATGTTGATTCAACTAAACATAGCCTTACACTCACTACATTTTGTGCTTCCTTTTTGCTTACCAGGAGGGTGTACCATATGGATACACCTTTAAGCAGCTGTACAACTTGGCTTAAATTTATTCTTTGTATTTTTTATATTATTTGTTATGTTGGAAAATGGTGAATAATGGGTTTCTTATTTATTAGACTAATTTTTTTTTTTACCGTTGAGCTCTATTTGGATTCAAATGCCATTAAAACACACACAGATAACATTTTAGGTTTTTATTGGCTAAAACTACCTTTAAATATGCTGGATACATAAGAAAAATATTTAAATGCCAAACATATTTTGATAAACTAAGGAATTAGAGAATTCACCTTATTGTTCCTGGTCATCATGTCCTTTAATATTTTAGAACTAGTAGATCTCACCCTCTCACCCAGTTTTTATTCATAGATTAGAAGAGGAAAACAAGTTTCCTGCTTTTTCAACTCTTAGTTGGTTTCTTAACTTTAATAGGGTTCAAAAAAGAGCTAGATAGATTCGTGGAGGTTAGGTCCATCAATGGCTATTCGCCAGGATAGGTAGGAATGGTGTCCCTAGCCTCTGTTTCTCTGGAGGTGGGTGATGGGAGGGATTATGTGATGATTACCTGTTGTGATCCCTCCCTCTGAGGCATCTGGTATTGGCCACTATCGGCAGACGGGGTATTGGGCTAGATGAACCTTTGAATTACTCTTAACCAGGAAGCAGCAGCGGAGGCTGTACCTGCTTCCTTGGATACTTTCTCCGTTACTCCCATGTAAATGCATTTTTCTTGTTACCCTTTAATGTTAGGAGTCAGAGAACTAGTCCATCCTTCCTGACTCTATGAAGCCACATTTTGTTTGCATTTAGTCAAAATAGTGCTCCTTCAGAAGCACACAGCAGAATAATTCAGCCAAACACATCGCTTGTGGCCACTTCTCATGTTGGTAAATCAAGAAAGAAAATCAGTTTCGAAATCACCTTTAAGAGCGTGATACCTGAAAAGAGCATTTGCACAACTGCCAGTAGCTAAATATCAGAACTTGGTGCAGCCGTAGAGAGTTCTTATGTTGACCTCTTTATTTTCCCACAGCGCATGGACCTGGGAGAATGTACAAAGATCCATGACTTGGCACTGAGAGCAGATTATGAGATTGCAAGTAAAGAGAGGGACCTATTTTTTGAGCTGGATGTAAGTATTGTGATTTTGTTGTTTGTCTCTAAATAACCCTGTGTAATTTCTTAACATCAGACTGAGCGGCAGAGTCGACCTGACATTTCTGCTAATCTGTTTACTGTTTTCTAATTTGTAGTCCCTTTCCCCATGTCAGCATGATGCTGAATTAAAAAGTTAAGATTGAATTGTCATTTGCAAAACCTGCAAACAAAACGGAAACAGGCTGTATTCCTTGTCTGCTCAGAACTGCAGCTGCCCTCAGTGAGTCTGGAAAAATGCTCTGATGGGCTTCAATGGGTCAGTTCTCACATTAGAAACCTGCTCTGTCTAGTCGTACCTTTGCCAGCCTGTGCTTCGGCATTGATTTTGTGCATTGGAGCTGCTCAAAGGTAAAAAGCAATGCTAACTCTCCCAGCCTGGCTGCTCCTGTGTGTCTGGGTAGTGGTGTTCCAGGCGCGAATCCCCTGCTAGCTCTCAGAATGCAGAGACCTGGTCAACCTAGAGTCACATCAGAAGCTCTTCAGGGCAGCCTTCGTTCTCCTAGGTGTGGGCAATGTTGAAAATAAGGTGCAGTGACTCTGTTGTAGTTATTTACCTGAGAGGTGGGTGCGGTGAGTGAAATTCCCTTCTCGAAGCAGACAAGCAGCTGACTCTGAGTTTGCCTCATCTCTGTGTCCTGAAAGTCAGTCATTTGATTCTGTTGTCTCTGCCCTAATTTAATTTCTATTGAAATCACAGAACCCTTCCCACTGCTCTTTCAACTGACTCTGCCTTCTGCTCTTTTATTAGCTCAGTGTTTTTTCTAGCTAAACCTGTAAATTTGTCTTCTCAACCATCTCATTAATTACCTGGCCCCCTGCCATTCTCCTCCCCCCTTTTGAGATCACTGATATCCTGGTCTCCTAGTTACCATTGCTTTTGCATCCGACCTCTCTGCCCTCGCACGAGGGCTATGGCTACTCTACAGAGCTTACAGCAGTGCATGCAGCTGCACCAGTGCAGCACTGCTAGTGCAGATGCTCTGAGCCAGCAGAGGAGAGCTCGCCTTATTTACTTAAGTTCTACCACACTAAGTGGTTGTATGTACCCAGCCTAAGAAAATACCAGATCTTGGCCCCTTAGAGGAGTAAGTGGCACTCTGAATAAAAAAAAAAATACAGGGGTGTTTATATCACAGCCTCCTTTGTGGGGCAGTAGCTAAAACCCCACCTGTGCCACTACTTCCCAAGACAAACTAATGAAAGGGAAAAAACAGGCAGATCTCCCCCATCCTTTTAGAACTGTGTGGTCCCCAGTGTGGGTGCTGCTAGCATGAGACACACAGGAATTGCCATCCTGAATCAGGCCAGTGGGCCATCTGATCCCAGGTTGCAAATGTTGCCTTACATCCACTCAGGTATAAAAGGGAACTAGTGCGTTGTGATTTGTAAAGGAATATCCCGGGCTAGTTCTCAGTTGTGAGCGAGCCAGAGCCCAGCGAAAACCACCTGTAGTGACAGTTCTTGTTTGAACACGCAGGCTATGGATCACCTGGAGTCCTTTATCGCAGAGTGTGACCGGAGAACTGAGCTGGCTAAGAAACGCCTGGCTGAAACTCAGGAGGAGATCAGTGCTGAAGTGTCTGCAAAGGTA